GTGGGAGAACTTGCACAATTGGTGGCTGACTAAATACTTTTTTGCCCCACTGTATTTTTTAATTACTGTTTTATGTTTAAGAACTCTCCTGGGAAAACGTGGTTTTCGCAAGCAGCAGCAGCAGCAGCATACATTTTTTTTAAATATTAAGAGAAAGTTGTTTGTCAAAACTTTGTCTTATGTTATAGTATAGAAATAGATCAACATCTAATCCTAATTCTAGGCTAATTAAAAATTAAATTAACTGAGCTGATGTAGATCTAATAATCCATATATACTGATGTGCATATGAAGTGATGAAATCTTTATCTGGTGTCTGTTTGTTTGCAAACAGCTGTTTAGTCTTTGATAAAATTTTCATACAACTACTTGAAAAATGTTACCATCTCTTTGAAACTTTTTCATAGTACTTCTGATAGTACTTTTCAGGCACTCCTGACCATCAGAAGTCTATTCTGGAGCACACAGCAGCAGCCTTTGTAATTTCTACTAGTTGTGCTGTTTTAAAGTGTGCTTCTGTTGGCTAGTAAAGGCATGTTTGAGTCTTTTCAAAACAATACATTGTATGATTTGTTTTCTTTTGTTTCAGGTTCTTTTTGTCTAAAAAGCTTAAAGAACTGACTAATAAAAAGAGAAGTGGCTTATTAAGATATACAGATGAAAAACTAACCAAAATAGCAAAACAGTTGGGTTACTCGCTAGAACAAAAAAGCTTGAAGATGAAAGAGCGAGATAAGAAGGTAAGGTTTGATTTTTCCAGATTCAATAAACTCTAGTACAGCATTTATCTTTTTTCGCTGTTTATGCTAAAACATGTTTATTCCTAAGCCTCTTCCCAAATCAAAGAATCACAATTGATTCCTGGGTTCAGCACAGTGAAAAGTTGAGTTGATAGCTAGTGTGCAAATGGCAACAAGCATGCTGTGAGCATAACAGATACTGTAACTTAAGGCATACTCTGCAACAGGGATGGGGGCCTAAAAACCTTAGTTCTCTGTCACCATCCAGTCTTAAAAGTGTAAAATACACTTATGATGTAAGAATGAAATTAATTAATCAGAAAATACTGTTTCATGTTTATTGGACTTCAGAAAATATTCAGAACAGGTTGGATATCAGATTTTCTGGGTTGACATTGTAAAAAAGTTGAGGATTTGTTAACTAATGATTTGGTCTTGTATAGCCTGTTTGGTTTCAAGCTATAGCATATGTTAATACAATTCTGGGAAAAAAAAGTAACAAAAATATAAATGTATGTTAAATTATATTCCCATGATATGGAATTTGTGATTTTAGGAAGAACTTTGGCATTATTAATCCTCTTGGCAGAGGATAAATTATTTATCCTTTAAA